AATATGTGGGTGGGTTTGGTAGTACGCCTTCTCTTAGTTGGTTTGAAATCGGGGTTTTTAGCCAACTCCCTTATTGATTTGCCAGTGGTTCACTGATTTAGCTTCCTGGAAGTCAGCAATGAAATTGGATAACCCAAAACCCGGATCTCAAAATGATGAACTTTATCCGGCTCTATTAAAAAATATTCTTTAAAATACATTGTCATTATATATTGCTCATGCTACAAAGCAATTGTTAACCCAGTGATCCACTGACTAAGTGTTTTGCGTATGGTGTTTCTAATGGTGCCATACACAATAAAAGTTTGCCCCAGACCACCATTACAAATGTTTGATGACAACGTTTTTGATAGAATTCACCTAAACTTTTGTTGAAAGTGTTAAATCTTCCATTTTTTAATCACGGTGTGTAAAAATACAAAACGAATTGTCAATGGAGGCTGGCATCAGACCAATTTCGCAATGGAATTTGCATACGTTCGCTAATCCTCATTTTACCTCTCACAGGCTCATTCAAGATAGTCGGGTTCAAGCACTGTTGGCATATGTCGATGTGAGAGCATTTTTCAGGCTGTTTATTGAAAATAGAACATTTTGTTTTCACATCTCTTTTTTCTCAATTATTTTTATCTTCCATTTCATTTTTAGGCTTCCGCTTTAACCAAGCGAGAAACCAGTCACATGCCCTTGATGTTAAGAGAACTACCTATCGGAATCGGTCATGACTGCTATCGTGACGATCGGGTAGTCAGTGGAGCATGCCATCAGGCCGCTATCAGTTGCGTTCGTGATGCCCTCGGCCTGTTCGCGGTGGATAACTGTGGGAGTACACAAACTGTGGACGGGAAGGCTATCCGTTCTGTTAAGACGCGTATTCTTCCTCCAAATTATGCCACCTTATTTATGCTCAAATCGTTGCTTTCAAACATTCCCCAACTGGTCAGACGTTCGGAAAACTATTTTACGAATTTCGTTCGAACGCGGTAAGTGAATTTGTGGTCCTTTCCTTCACATGCGCACGAATTCATTGGATAAAGATATACTGTCGGTGTTTGAACACCGCTGTCTACGCGGCATTGCACGAATCTGGTGGGGCAGCCGGATGAGCAATGCTGAGGTCAGGCGAAACATTTTGGGCAATCGTGGTCGCCCAAGTGGTCTACCTCCATAGATTACGTTGGTTGGGGCATGTGTTACGCATGTCACCAAATAGATTGCCACGGCGAGCGATGTTTGCCGAGGCAGGTAGTGGGTGGAATAAAGTCCAACGTGGTCAAGCTAAGACCTGGCATGAGGATATGAAAACCCTAACCAGGAGTTTAGGTCACACAGGTCCCGTTAGGCTCCCTGGCTGGGGACCTCGGGATGATCGTAACCGATAGTTAGAGACACTGAGTGATATGCCTAAGTGTCGTAAAGAGTGGCGTTCATGCATTTTCTCAATTTCTCTGTATCATTAATTCACTGAATTTTTCAATCTTCTCTCCGATTGTACTTTCAACTTTCCTGTCTTTCTCTTTTGAAGTTAAATGCAGGCGTTACACTTCCCAATTCACCGGTAGTCTCCGGGGTTATGACTCAGTTGTAAACATTCCGGATCTGACTACTTGTTACTTCACAGTAGTAGATTTGGTAGTATTTGCTGTCGTGCATCGAGAGAACCCGTCCCTGGGTGGTTAAAGCAGTCGTTTGAATACGTTCAACCAGTGAAGTTCCGGGTGTGATCCGCATTTAGATCGATGAATTCGCATCACTGACGAAACCCAAGCAGGTCGAAACACTTGTACAATACTTCCTAACTTTTCAATTCATTTGCTCAACGCACGGCGAAGTCCATCGTATAACAATTAAAACCATGCACTATTTTCATCGCGATTTCTTTGAATTAGAAACTGTGATGATAAGTTACAGATTTCTGTTGATGTTAGCGTGCCGCTCTGTAGAAACAAACCTAAATCGAAGACGTTCATTTCTTATGAGGTCCGATTCATTGCGCGTGTATCGCCGTGGTGAATTTCCTTTTACTTTCAGGTCACTTGCTGCTGCTTGGTGACACGTCGACTTCATGAATAAATCAATAAATAAGTCCTACCGTCATTTGTTATGTACTTTAGTAAGTGAAACATTCCACCATAGCTAATTCTTGACCATCAAACATCAGCGCCGGGGTAGACGGCGCCCAGTCTTGTAGCATTACTTTGCACTTTGAAGGTGCAAAGCGCATGCCGAAAGGAGATACAGAACTTGAAAGTCTGTCACGAGCGCCTTGCGCATCCTCCATACACTCGAACAGACATACGATGTCATTGGCGTACTCTAAATCGCACAGCTTTTCTCCAGCTGCCCATTCAATACCTACGTTTTGGAACCCACTTGGTGCGTTCTCCAGCATTTCGTTTACGACAAAATTGAACAGGAATGGCGAAATAGGACCCTTGATGGACAACGCTCCTAGTTTCGTACGATTTAATTAGACCATCGTAGATCCTTACGCTAACAGAAGTATGGAGGTACAGCGATCTCAACAATTTGACATACATTCGCGGCATTCCTTTACGGAGCAGCGACCCCAGAAGAGCTCCACGGTCAACTGAATCGAAGACTCCTTTCAGGTCAAGGAACACTGCGATTGTTGACCGACGATGTGTGTGACGCAATTCGAGGACTTGGCGCAGAGTGAAGATTTGATCGATGCAACCGCGACTTGGTCAGAATCCGGCTTGTTGTTCGCGGATATTCCTCTCCCTTAAGGGTGTCAGGTGGCGAAGTATCACAGAAGTCAACACTTGTGATTATCGGCACTAAACTAATCCCGCAGTGGTTAGCGCAATCGTTGCGTGATCCCTTCTTGAAGATCGGGACGATCAACGATTCACCCCAGGACAAAAGGATACGCTCCTCCGTCCAAATGCTGCGAAGTAAGCTAGTAGTTGAGTCGACAAGAGAATCACCGCCCACCTTGAAAAGAACAGGGAGAAGCCCATCAGGTCCCGCAGCCTTTCCTTTCTTTAATGATTGAATGCAGCTTAGTACTTCCAATTCTGATGCGAGCTCGCATGTTACCACTCATAGAGTTTCCGCCGCAATTGCTGGAATGACCGCATTAGCACTAGGCCAATTGAACTGCTCACTAAAATACTCTACCCAGCGTTCAAGTCGTTGTTCTTTATTGTGGATGCTTTGTCCACTTTTATCACAAATGGTCTCACTGACCGGTATGCGACGACCTCCGGTGCTGCGTATCAGATGAAACAGTCTTTGACTATTCCCTGATATAGAAGCTACCTCCATTTCATTAGCTATTTTGGCCCACCAATTTTCGCGATTTTTCTTAAGACTTTTTCTGATTTGACGTTGCAGGCGACACCGGTCCTTATGCTGATCCTGGCAGACTGGGATCTTTCGCTTTTGGTCGATCAGGATTACGGACTCCTCAGAGATCGAATGCTTTCGGGGAACTTCGGGCTCGGTCCTACAAGCAAAGTTTGCTACTGAGTGCATCGCAAATCTAATCTGATTCCACTGTTGGTCTACTCCACTATGTCGCGGTTTTCCTACTTCCTACCCCAGTGTATCATCATAACGTGAGCAGACAGCTGGATCGCGCAGACGATGGTGAGCTAATTAAGGAAGCTATTTCTGCCGATGACCAGTGAGTCGAAGAGCGAAACATAACAGAGCTAGTGCATGATCCCACTCAACGCAGGTGGACCAATAGGATCTGCAATTTTGTACTGAGCCACGCCAACGGTATCTTACAGCTATGTGGTCAATTTGGGTCAATGTGTCCGTTAAACTAGAACACCATGTAGCCGTTCTACGAGAGCTGTGTCGAAAGTTGGTGCTAGATAAGAACAGCCGGTGATCCGCGCAGATCTGAAGTAGTCGACCACCGTTGTCTGTTCGCTGGACGGGGAGGGCAAAGTGCCCTCCTAGACAGGCTTCGGGTGCGCTCGGTTTTTCAACCTGCCCGTTAAAATCACCTACCAGCACTAGAATATCAGAGCTCGGTTCACCGTATTTCGCTGTACGAGGATGATGATGATGACCTCTCTTGTGGATCGGGATAACTTCGGCCTGTTTCCAGTCTGACTGTAACGTTGCTTTGACGATCTACCTGTTGAAAAGCCAGGCTAATGGTCCAGCAATTATATCAGCTCAATAGGTGGATGTATACCATCTGGACCAGCGGCCTTACCGGTGTTTAATGTACCCAAGATTTTCTCTACATCCAGTCTGGTGGTTGGCAGATTTGGCATCTGTGGTACATGGGCCGGTACTAAAGTAGGGATCTCCCTACCCCGGTCCCTCTGGTAAACCCGCTCAGAGGCTGCCCGGAGATCCTCGGCCTTATCATCGCTACTTATAGCAAGTCCGCCATCCGCAATCACTGTTTTCAACGGCCGTCCTCGTAGCGGTCTTTGACTGGACATAGTTGGGTTCCCAAAGAAAAACCCACAAATTCCCGCTGCCTTGCGGGTCAGACTCCTGAGTCAAAGGCTCCGGTCAGGGTTCCCAAAGAAAAACCCCTTCGTCGGTGTGGGCTACC